GTACAACGTTTCGACAAGGTTTTGTCATCATCAGGTCCAACCATTATTATTGAATTAATTAAATCATTTTTAGAAAAAAGACACCGAAACAATGAGTAATAATGGTTGACTGTGTTTTCATTAACTCATTAAATAAAACGAGACGTCATCCAAGAAAGAATAGTTTTTGAAATCTAGATTTGTTTTATTGATAAATAAAAATTGTAGTTTGCTATTTTGCCTTGTTACTTCTTCGAATAATCATCATAAATACGAAACAGTTTATGTCTGCATGTAAATATATGTATAATATATATTGAAATGATCAGTCATCACTGACTGACAAGTTGTTTTTTATGTTGTTGTTTTTCTCTGACTAAAAATGGATGCTCTGCTGCGCTCGTGAAAGTGTTGTCACGTTGTTTTTAACAAACAACAATTATGAAGCAGGTTTTATATGCATTCTGTGTGTTTTTGTATTGCTACTAGGCTCCCACAGAACTGCCCCCCCCCCCACTGGCATAGCGGAATGTCTGCGGACTTACAACGCTAGAAACCGGGTTTCGATACCCGTGGTGGGCAGATTACAGATAGCCCATTGTGTAGATTTGTGCTTAACTTCAAACAAACAAAACAAGCCAACAGAACTATAGATCCTAGAGTAGCCGAGAGCTATTCCGGGCCCGGGGGTAATCATGTACATATGTGCCCCCATAATCGTACGACTCACAAAGTTCATTACTTAATTCCTCGTGAATAAATTGAACACTACTGGTTTCACAGATTCGCTGAGGTTTATCTTCTAAGTACCAATTTGCTTGTTATATTTTAATATAACTCTTTATGTATGTTACCTTATTCTTTTCTTTGCTTTTTTACGGGTCCCCTGATGCCCCCGGGGGTAAGCCCCCCCCGTTATTTCTATTCCAGGCAACGTTAGCGGGTCGGGTTAGATGATTTCATAGGTTTACGAAGTGTGATTACCAGGACCGGCGATAAGGGTGAGGGGTGGGGATAAACTGAGAAAATACACCTTGCAAAGTTCACAAACGTAATGTTTTTAATTAGGCCTCTCTTGTTCTTAGTGCACAGTTCAACATTGAGAAGAAAAAAATAGTTATTGTTGTTTTTTGTAAGCCATTTATATACTGGAAAAGATCGTGAATAGAAAGTAGTGTCACTGAGTGCTTCTCTGTAAGTGAACATGCAAACTATACTCAGTTTGTATATATTTATATAATTGGAAGTTATAACTTCAAACCCAGGTTTGACCTTCGTAGAATACTGGCTCTGGTTACGGTGCTGGTATCAAGTAAGTCTAGAAGTTTGATTTCGATGTTAATTTTAACAAGTGAAATGTAATCGAAATATCGAGTAATCGCTCAGCACTAGTTTAAGCTGCCAAAGATTTAAAATAAAAATGGAAAAGTAATTTTTTTAGACATGGTTATTTTTATTGTGTATATACGTTTTGTTCGCTTGTTTTTGTTGTTTTTCTTGGTGGGGAGAAGAAGAAGGGGGACGCCTAGGGGTCTTTTTAAAACTCAAAGTTTCTTAACTTTAGATCTCTTTGATCTCATGAAAGCCTCTTTACGAAGGAAAAAGTAACATTTGATCAATTTGATATCTGACTTTATTTTTATTATGTTTTTCTTTGAATATATATATTCTGTGTAATTAGAGGATGCTGCTGAGTTAGAATGACCCCCCCCCCCCCCACTTAAAGTCTTTGGTGGATTTATTCGTGCACATTTTGTTTCGTAGTTTTCATTTAATGATAAAATGAGTGGATTATACCCAAGCTTTTCGACACTTTTGCGTTTAAAATGCTAAATATATATATATTGATCTTTTTTTTTAAATATGAAAACTGATCTCACAACTTAGAGCAATGAATAATATAAAACATTATCATTATATTTTTACATTTTTCCCCTATTCAAATTATAATTTCATTTTTTTCATTGGTCACTTAATAGGTCTATTTGGTTTTTCACCTATAAAGTGAGATACAATATACACAATTTAGTTCTGTTGTAGTGTACTTAAACGTATATTTACTTAAAACTTTATTTTTAGTATTCAAAGTCATAAGTCTGTTTCAACTGTTCAAAATATTTCAAAAAAGATTTTAACGTCTCGTGCTAACCTCACGATGTATT